GTCCTACTGCAAGGCTAACCATGCTGGAGGTTTAATTTTTTTCTCTGAAGCTGCAGGCCATGGATGCAAAACTGAGCTAGAGAGGTCCCAGGGCTGAGTCACGATTTTATTTTTGCTGTTTCTTTAGAAATACCTCACCCAACCTCTTTTGGAAAAGAAAAGGATAACTTAAAAAAACAGTACCACTTGGTTCCCCCCCGCCACAATCTATATTTATTGACACTGACATTTTTAAAGGGCTCTTGGGAGGGAGGCTATGTGGTCTCTGGGGACACTTTCCATAAAAAATCACAGGATTTAGCTGATGTTTGTGTCATTGTTAACATTTGGCTCCTAGATTTATGCTTCCAGAGAAATGCCAAAGCTGGCTTGGACAAGTCAAATTCACTGGGCCAAGAGTGTCAGTTCCTAAACCTGCAGCAGACACCTTTTATAAAAACAGCCAAACTATACATTGTGAACAGCAAGATCTATTGACATAAGATTCTCCATGCATTTACAGGTGTAACTGCATAGGTGAAATACCAGTTTAATTGGTTATCCATATAATTTTGTGTACCATCTTCCTCAATGTCTTATTAATGCAGTAAAAACTTTTATTTTGGGGGATGTGGGTGCAGGCATCTGGAAAGCAGATTGTAATAGATCTCTAGTTGCAATATTTTCTCTAGAAAAAAGACTATTTTTTGAACATGAAAGAACACACAGTTTTCATTTAGCTTTGCAGTCACATCTGGAAGAGTTGCCCCTCCTGATGTTTCGAGACAGCAAGGAGAACAGATCCCATCAGCTGGGGGAAGGATTGCTTCTTCCTCTAAGATAGGAGGCTGGACTTCTTTTGAATTATTTGACATTCGGTCAGGAGATAAAAATACACTGGCTAGGTGAACCAGTGACCTCTTCTATGATCACAATAGCTGTGGTAGACGAGTGGGCAGGAAGAGCCTGCAACTACACATCTTCGCCATGTTCTCATCAAGAAAGCTTTAATTATTAATGGAGATGCAAGACAAGGCTGGAGTCACCTTGTTGAGGATGGTCCCAGAGGGAGGGCTCTCTCTTACACTTCAAATCATAGCCCCCTGTCCTACACCAATGTCTCAGAGCCCCAGGTACCTGTGCAGCATCACTGAGACTGACCTTGCTGAGACCCAAGTCAGACATCTTTAGCCTTCCCACACATCTTGGAACAATCTGTCGTGCAACCCCAGCTACACCCATTGCAAAATGCATTTAAATGCTGTTTCTTTCACTTGCCAGCATGTACCCATTGAACACACAAGCTGTGCTTCAGGAGCAAGGAGCAGAAAAGCATCACTCCAAGAGGCTACCAGGCAGTGCTGGGATAAAATGTTCCATAGGAGGACCAATGTCTTCTCCATTACACATCTTTTTGGTAGCATCGGAATGAGATCTTTGTTTAAATGCACAGGAGTGGCACGGCTTCAGCAGTTACACAGCTATTTTGTGTGCTCTGGGAAAGGGGACATCAACAGATTGCAAAATGGGAAAGTCTCTCTGGACGCTGCAAACAAACAACATGTTACGTAATTGGGCCTTTTGGGAACTGGAGGAAGGTCTCCAGAAGATCAGGGCCCTCCCAGCACTTTCTAATTTTACTGAGACTTACCAGCAAGCCAGCCCTCATAATAGAGGCTTGTACACAGTTTTCTTTCATCCTTGTGTCCCCCTGCACTGCCCTACCTTTGTTGTTAGTGCCCCAGAAAAACACATCTTACTCAATTTTACCAAGCTGATTGATAGAGCCTAGAATGGCAGAGCTGAAGAGGCACTAAAGACCTTTAGAAAGGGCAGCAAAGCCATCTCTTGATCACCAGAGCATGGGAAAACCTGAAGTTTTAGAACTTTATTGAATCAAATGTGCTGGGGAATTGCACCGTTCTACACAGCTGTGGTTTAGCTGAAGCAGAGCACTAACAAGCAATGACACAGAAACAGGCTTTAGCTCTATAATCCACATATTGTGCTAGCACGTCTTCTTTATTCCCATTAGAGCAAATTCTTCCAAGGGAGGATGCCTGTAAGCAGCACCTCAGCTTCAGGACCACACTGCCTTTGTGCTGCAGGACATGGACCTGCAGGAAATCTTCTGCAAGTCAGATTGTACCATCCAACACCTGAACGTGGACTGTAGCAGCTAAGTTTTAGAGGAATACTTACTGCCTTTCAGGCACATGAATAGATTGCAATTTGTACAGTCAGTTTCATCCCTCTCCTGGAAAATGGAGTTTCATCCTTCTCCCACCTGAATGGAGCAAGCCCTTTAGTCAACATATGGCCCTGCAGTCGCCACCTCCTCCCATCCTATTCCCCAAGCCCTCATCTGTACCAGGCTGTGAACTCCTAAAGTGGTGCTTCCCATGTACTGTCCCTCCCTGCGATTCAGGGAGAGACAGTTTAAAGGCAATAGAAATATGATGGCAATGCCCTGGCATCTGCACAGAAAAAACACACTTGGGTTTCTAAGAAAGCTGTTTTCCCCCGTTTCTTGCTTGCTGTGCACATGCTGACAGCCAGTAAGAAAAGGAAGGAGGAGGCTTGCTGCCATGGGGAAGGCACACCAGCACGCCCTGGGAGGCCAGGCAGCAGCTCCGACAGGATGTGGTCAGCCCTTTTCCAACACACCCCTTGGTTACTAGGCTGTTGGCAAAAGTCAGCAGTGAACAGCTTAGTGGAGGAAAGGCCACCAGCAGAGGCAGTAGGCACAGCACAGCGGGCCCCGGTGCAACCCCAGGGAGAAGGCACAGCCATCCCACTGCAAAACCCCACATCACAGACTGAGCGCTAACAGGCAGCGCAGGCACAAGTGACACTACCTGTCTTTGATGAAGAACAGCACAGAGATCCTGGCCAGAGTGATGGATCCAAAACAAGGGGGAAGCCCAAGCCCCTGTGAGTGCAATCGCAGAGCCTGCGGCCGTGTGTTTGGCCTGCCATGTAAACATGTCACAGCCCAGGGGAACTGAGATCAAACGTCAGTCTTCCTGCCAGTAGCCCAGTTTTTCTAGTGCTGAGTGACCTGGTTAAAAAGTAAAGAGCCTTCGGGGGATATCCTTATAGCCTAGTTCATTGCATCTCTGCAGACAACTCCCTGCTTCTCCCAAAATGAAAAAAAAAAAATTAAAAAAATCAAATAACTGCATAACTTCTCTACTACAGTTATCATTCAGGAGCCAGGAACAATGGCATATTGTGTGCTCTCGACCCTTGTGTGAGCAACATGCATGTTCTGGCCTCCAGATTGGTGGAGCTGTGAAGTTCTTGCTCGGTTTTTCCTGAGAAGTCAAAAACCCAACTGGTCTAATACCCTGCCTGAGAACTACAAATCACTTTTTTATTTCCCCCGACTTCAAGAAGTTTTATGATTCCCCTGTTTGCTTCATTCTCCTTGTGCACACGGAGCAGATACAAGTAACAGACAGAACATAAGGCCCACTCTTGGCACTCATCATGGGTCTGTTTCAGCTCCTAAGAGACCAGTTGTATGATATGCAATACCCAAGCCAACATTTAGCTCTCCCTTGACACAGGAGTGCCCTTTATCAGTGACTGCTCCAAGTTCTACATATTGGTTTTGTGTTTTTCCTGGAAGTCAAAAACCCAACTGGTCTAATACCCTGCCTGAGAACTACAAATCAAATATGCATAACTTCTCTACTACAGTTATCATTCAGGAGCCAGGAACAATGGCATATTGTGTGCTCTCGACCCTTGTGTGAGCAACACGCATGTTCTGGCCTCCAGATTGGTGGAGCTGTGAAGTTCTTGCTCGGTTTTTCCTGAGAAGTCAAAAACCCAACTGGTCTAATACCCTGCCTGAGAACTACAAATCACTTTTTTATTTCCCCCGACTTCAAGAAGTTTTATGATTCCCCTGTTTGCTTCATTCTCCTTGTGCACACGGAGCAGATACAAGTAACAGACAGAACATAAGGCCCACTCTTGGCACTCATCATGGGTCTGTTTCAGCTCCTAAGAGACCAGTTGTATGATATGCAATACCCAAGCCAACATTTAGCTCTCCCTTGACACAGGAGTGCCCTTTATCAGTGACTGCTCCAAGTTCTACATATTGGTTTTGTGCTACAGGGTCTACTGTTGGCAGGGACTGATCTACAGGCACAGACTTCACTATAGGAAAAGCCTGAGGAACAACACAACTCCCAAGCCTTGCTCCTCCCATAGCCCCAGCTGGGCAAGGAAATGTCTTCATGACATACCCAAGGATAGATGTTTTCTACCATGATTTACTGGGCTAATTTATATTCTCCACATAATGTAATAAACAAGGCTACAGCACTAATAATTTTTCCACCATCCACCTAGCAACACTCAGGAGTAGCCTCCAACAGCTTTCAGCCTCTTTTTTATTTGCAAGCAGCCAAATGTGTCTGCAGTTGCATCCTAACCATGAGGCTTCTCTGTGTGACAATACTTTTTCAGGACAAGCATTGGACTCAGGCCTGCAGCCTTTAGAAGAGGAGGAGGTGAAGTGACTTTCACCAAAGCCCTGAACTGAGCATCAGTGGAACAGGCTGTGGCCCCGTTCCGCATGACCTGACCCTCAACAGGCAAGGGAAAGTAGGCACCACAATTCATACACTCAGTTTAGGCCCTTCGCAAGACAGGTCCTTGTGACTGGGCGGTAACAGCCAGCTCAGTTTTGTTCTCTGCTCCACTGTAGAGCCGAGGCTATAGAGATCTTCATAGCGCATGGGTAGGGTGTGGGAGGCTGGGCTCACAAACCAGTCCCACCTCCCTGCTACTGGAAGGGTGGAGTGCCCCTGGGCAGGCATCACTCTCTGGTCTGTTAGCAAGGCAGGAATGCAGCATTTCAGGCTCCCCAAAGCACATAAGGCCATTCATGGCTTACTGCAATGCGCTGGCACCCAAACACCTCCAGTTCAGCTCTGGGAGCCATGTGCATTTAATTTCAGGAGAACCAGAGACTGTAAGTAACAAATAAAACCTTCACTTACACTATCTCATCGTTCTGGAACTCCAGCTCCCCGCAGGTGTCTTCAAAGTCCTCTCCTCCACCTTTGGCTGAGCCTTCAATGGTTTTGTAGGGCACAATAACATTTCCTCGCGCACCAGAGGTTCGCAACACTTTCACTTCCATGGTCCCCACACTTTCACTGACGTGTGTTACTGGCTCCTCAAAGGTGAAGATGCCAGCGTGGTCATCATCAAAGATGGTGACGGTGGCAGTAGATGGTGATCCCAGGCAGGCAAGTGTTGAGACACGACTGGCCTCAAGAATGCCCTCATCTGAGGCCTCAGTGCTCACGCGGATGTTGCTGAGATGGACCAGGAAGTTCTCATCCTCCTCAAATATGTCATCGTCGATTATGCCAACTCGGATTTCCTTCTGGGTCTCTCCAGGCTTGAAGACCACTGTCCCTTCAGTGAACTCATAGTCAGAGCCGGCATTGGCTGTCCCATCCTCTGTCCGGAAGTCAACGTACACAGTGTTGGTCAAGTCGCCTCCCCGGCGAATGATGGTCAGGGCGACAGTGCCACAGTTCTCCAGACACTGGTAGGTACCCTGCTCAAAGTAGAGCTTGCTGATGGGATCATTTTCTGCCACCTCACTGTTGACCTCGTGCATGCTGACAGCTTTGCGGGCCTGGTCTGCAGCATGTCTTTTCAAGATGTTGCCAGCTCCTGTCATGAGCCGAGTGGCCTGAATGCGGTAAAAAGCCCTGCTCTTCTGCTGCTGGCTCAGGACCTGGTAGTTGGCCAACTCTATAAGCTGTTCAATTTCCTTGTCGGGGTGCTTTTGTTTCAGCTCCTTCAGGATCCGAGCCATTTCCCTCCTGGCTTCCTCATCATCCTGGTCTTTCTCATCCACCTCCAACACCAGTGTCCCATCCAAAAAGTTCTCCACATGAGAATTAGCAACCTTTCCGTCCATCTCGATATCAGCTTTGGAGGAGGGCCCGTCACCCTCATGCTCAATGATCATGCCTCTCTGCTTGCCAGCTCGGTATTTCTTGTAGACGTACTTGTAAAATAAAAGCCTCCTGTCAGCTATCCAGGCAAACACCACACAGATGGGGAAGAAGAAGAAGGTGAGCAAGCCTTCCCAAACCTCCACAATCCCAGGAGAAGACACAGATAAAATAATGTAAAGCCAAGTGTAGGCAAAGATGCTCCAGGCTGCTGTAACAAAAAACACTCGCAAGTGCTTGATCTTCCTTATCTCTCCATCTGGAACAACGTAAACACAGATTGCAATGATGACAAACATGTTAAATGCAGCACTCCCCACAATTGTGCTTGGCCCCAAGTCCCCTGCCGTGAAGCCATGGCCACACACTTCGATAACAGACAGGAGGATCTCAGGGGCAGACGAACCCAAGGCCATCAGTGTGAGGTTGGAAACGGTCTCGTTCCAGATCCTCACTGTGGTTTTGCTGGTCTCGCCGTTGGGCTTCTTGATGGTTATTTCCCGCTCTTGGGATGTAATGACTTCGATGGAGGACATGAAGCGGTCGGCTATGATAGATACTCCCAGGAACATGTACACCATCGCTACAAAATACACTGTTGCCCGAGCGATTTTGTCACCGAACGAGGGGTCTTGGGGTTCCCATATTGGTAAAATCACACCCTTTTTGCAGATGTATGAGCCAGTGCACTCCTCGGTGTCATTCACAGGCAATTCACTGGGGCTCTCCGCATGTATGCTGTCTGCATGGAAGAGCAACACCAGCACAACGCTCAGGAGTTGGAAGCTCACTGGGAAGGTGGGTTGGTGAGTTGCTCGCGACATGGCCGCTTCCACCAAACAGGTCCCAAACATCCTCAACCTGTAGAGACAAAAGGAAAGATGCATTAAGTGAGGCCAACCAGAGATAACAGATTTTCCCCTACACCCTGTTTATGTCCCATCTTTCCCAAACATATAATCAAGTTACCCTGTTACTCAAGAAGCCCCATCTAATAAGCCCATTTGTGTTATGATTACTGCAGTTTTCCATGTACAAATCATCCAGTTCAGTTATATGAACAAGGACTGATTGAGGTGCTACCAGTGGGCTAGCACCTACCCCCTTTAGCTACTATGATGTTTAATGCTACTTTCTTTCTCTTTGCTGAAAGCCTATTTGTTCAATTGCATTTTCTTGTTTCTCATCTAATTAAAGCCCATCATTCTGCTTCACACCTGGCAGAAGTGTTTCCCATTTCAAAATTACGGTGCACTCACTCACTGGAGTTCAGGGTAAGAGCAGGAGAGGACAGGGAAATCTACTATCCCCCATCATTTTTAAAAAGTATTTTTATACTTGCCATTTGTAATCACTGTAAACTACATATTTCACAGCCTTTTCTTGCTCACAGTCCTCCCAAGCATCTACTCCACATCAGAAATTTGCATGAAGTGAGCTCAAGCCCTGGCAAAACCTTATTCTTAACAGTAACTTGGTCATAAGGTGCACCAGAAGGGCAGTCTTTAATTAATGATTTTGGAGCCATTCCTTCCACAGTGCATCACTTTGCACCTTCCCAAAACTGGAAAGAGCCCCATATGCATCCAAGCCTGGCTCTCTTGGCATGCTTCGAGAGGAAACCTGTCCCTGTGCTCTTTTCCCACTAGGTCAGCTCTGATGGCTTCCCCTTCAAGGGCCTTTCTCACTCCATTTACAACATCAGTCATGAAGCATGACAGCAGTATTTGCCCTTGTCCTACCTCAGGATTTTCCAGCAGTGTAGAGGAGCTGTTAAAGAGGTTTGCGGTTAGTTAACAGTGCATAAACCAACAGAACAGATGCCTTTAAGTACATAGAGATGCTTAGTGCGAAAACCTGAGCATGCTCAGTGTTACATTCTCCATTTTACTAGCCAATAAAAGCCAGATTCCTAGTTATTAAAGCTATATTTTCTCCTCAAAGACAGCCTTTGCCATATTACGTTTCTCCATTCCAAGTTAATTTAATCGCATGGTACTTAAAAATGGTTCTATGAAGAGAGGAAAATGAGTATGTCAATACCTTTACTTTGCTGGAGAATACAAAAAGCTGAACTGGTTTTGCTCATTAAAAAACCCACACCCCAGAAAGAAAAAAAAAAAAAAGAGCCCAGCCACAAAAGGTTTCAACTTCTAAGAGAAGGATGGTATTCCCAGGCCCGTATCCAGCCTCTGCAACGCCTGGCAGGTCTCACCTCACCATTTCCCATCTGCCTGGTCTCCAGCAAACACAACGCCAGGTCTGACAGCTGCACAGCTGCATGCACTGGGAGACACAGACCAGCCCATCCACACTAAAGGCTGCATCCAGTGACAGCATCCCAGCTGTCACCTGGGCCCAGTCATAGCGAGCATGACCCAAGCAGGATGGCTAAGCACACCTTCCCTGTTCCTCCTGAAAGAGGGCTTGTTTCACAGCACAGCTGGGAACCAGGCTGGTTCTCCAGCCACACAGCAGGCTACACATGCTGCATTGCTGACTGCAAAAGTACAGCCAGGCAGGCGTTCCTGGGGAGAAGCATTTACCCTCCTAAACAGGGACACACCAATGCCTCCTTGAAGAAAAGCACCTGGTCACCATCACCCATCTCCTTATCCCCCATGACACAGAAATCACCCCTCCTCATTAGGGCAGGGGCATATTATGCAGGGACAGGGCTGCGCGCAAGTGAAGAACTGGCTGGAGGAAGCAATGGGTACCATCCTGCGCCCATGTTATAGGATCTACTCCACAAAGAGACATTGTAACGATGGATCAAAGCCCTCTCCTCCATTTGCTTTTATTTAAGGATGCCATAATAGGATTATTGGGCTGGAAGAATAATACTGAGAATTTATCAAGACAGTTTTATATAAATGGCATTTCCTCACCAGGAACTGTTGGTCTGCCTCCCCCTCCCCCCCAATTTTCTAATTAAGAAAAGAAAAAGATACACAGAGCAGGAAGTGAGCAAGTCAGAGAGCTGGGTGATAAAAACAGATAAGATGAACAGAAAAAGCAAGTCTCCTGTATGAAGATAGATTTAAAAGAAAGGAGTTGTTTGCGTTGGAAATCCTGCTAATGCTACAAAAAGCTCTTACTGCTGGAGTCAGAAGCCCTGAACATTGCTCCCCTGATCACAGATCCTGGGTACCTTCTGCTTCCCAGAATGCAGGCTACAAATCTGAAGTAAAAAATTGAAAACATGATGTTTGTAAAGAAGAGTACTTTGTTGCAGGCCGTTTGGTGGATAGCTAAGTTGAAACAGATGTGCGTTCATGGTCATTGAAGTTTAGCCGAAGCATGAATTAGTCACCCAACATCTGTACTCCTGTGTTTCACACTGCTCCAAACCAAGTCTCAGAGACATTTGATAAAGGGGCTGCTAAAACCCAGGCTGACTTGGTATCTATTCTGTTTATCCCAGATAGCTCCTAAGTGTATGAGATTCAACAAGGCCAAGTGCCGGGTCCTGCACTTCGGCCACAACAACCCCATGCAGAGATCTCTGCCTCCCCCTCCCCCCCACAATTTTCTATAAGAAAAGAAAAAGATACACAGAGCAGGAAGTGAGCAAGTCAGAGAGCTGGGTGATAAAAACAGATAAGATGAACAGAAAAAGCAAGTCTCCTGTATGAAGATAGATTTAAAAGAAAGGAGTTGTTTGCGTTGGAAATCCTGCTAATGCTACAAAAAGCTCTTACTGCTGGAGTCAGAAGCCCTGAACATTGCTCCCCTGATCACAGATCCTGGGTACCTTCTGCTTCCCAGAATGCAGGCTACAAATCTGAAGTAAAAAATTGAAAACATGATGTTTGTAAAGAAGAGTACTTTGTTGCAGGCCGTTTGGTGGATAGCTAAGTTGAAACAGATGTGCGTTCATGGTCATTGAAGTTTAGCCGAAGCATGAATTAGTCACCCAACATCTGTACTCCTGTGTTTCACACTGCTCCAAACCAAGTCTCAGAGACATTTGATAAAGGGGCTGCTAAAACCCAGGCTGACTTGGTATCTATTCTGTTTATCCCAGATAGCTCCTAAGTGTATGAGATTCAACAAGGCCAAGTGCCGGGTCCTGCACTTCGGCCACAACAACCCCATGCAGCGCTACAGGCTTGGGGAAGAGTGGCTGGAAAGCTGCCTGGCGGAAAAGGACCTGGGGGTGTTGGTTGACAGCCGGCTGAACATGAGC